AACGCGTACGCGTACACGAGCCATTGCATGCTCGAGGAAGAGCATCACGTAGCCCAAAAGGCTACCGTTGCATCCCATTCGCGCTTCCAGGCCTTGCCGTCCACGCATTCGCTCCACCCGTCCCGCTCTACTCTACTCGCGGGCGCCAACAATACCTGCAACCCATTGCCCGCGCTCCTTCCTTTCATTCTTACTTCTGCTCCTCTCTGCGAACGCGGAATGAAGGACGAGCGCTAAAGGCGGAACGAGACCACTCACGTGTTCACCGGACTGACCATCCTTCCACTCTTGATAACGTAGACTGAGAACACCTCTACGATCAGCCTCCACCCTTTCGGCTTCCTTGAGCGCAGCTCGCGTAGCTTGTCCAGCAATCTGCGTGTACTTGTTGTACCTTGTAAATGACAGATCGTTGCGTTTGCGGCGAATGCGAAAAAACAGAGGAGGAGAGTCAGCATGTGTAGAGATGAGAGCACGACTTGAGTGGAGAAGAGGCTGCCGCCTGACTGGCTGCTTGATCTGCCCTGATTCGGTCTCTCGTGTGTTGGACGTGGAGCAGAGAGCAGGGCAAAGGTCCAGCGCGAGAGCAGAAAGGATGAACGGAAATATAGACTAAGAAACTCACCCGAAGAAAGCGCGCCAGGGAGCAGCGGAAGACATGATGTGCAATAATGGCTTGTTGGTGGGGAGAGGGGGTTTGGGGAACAAGTCGAGTGACTCAAACTGTTGTTCTCGTGCTTCTGATTTCAAGTGGCACAAATGCGTGATGATGAGTGCGAGTGAGGTGCGTGTAAGAAGGATAGGAAGCGAGCGTGCTTCAGCTTGGTGTGGCCGCCGCCTTGCTTGCCCTAGCTGGCGCCCACTCATGACTCGCCATTCAGTATTCACTGGCTTGTGCGATCTGATCGAACAGCAACGCGCCCCATTCCACTCATCGCGGGAGAGAACCGGGGCGGCGGCGGGCGACTTGGACTCATGCACTGCTGCTTTCCGGCACATCAGACTCGACTCACTGACTGTGCTGCATGGCTCATGGCTGGCTGGCTGGCTGGCTGGCTGGCTGGCTCTGCGCGCGAAGGGGCCACGTGCAAGGGCGGACCGGTGTGAGCGCGCGCAAGTATATCGGCCGAGAGAGAGCGTGCCCGGGGCCTTCAACATGCAAAGCGCGCGTGCAAAAGACCGAACCCGCGAGCGAGGCTTACGTGCAGACACGCTGAAGGGAAGGACTCACGACGGCAAGCACGGATGATGGGACACCATAGCCGCACGCACCCTTCGCCCTTCTTTGCTTGTCACCCACACACGCTCACATCACACGATGGTCAGTTCTGCTCGCACGACTGCTGTCGCTCTGCGGAGCGTCAAGCGCGCTTCCGTGCTGCCGATCTCCTCTCTGCGAACAGCAGCAGCAGCAGCAGCAGCAACGCGCCAAGTATCGAGCACACCGCCCGCCAGCGCATCGCCCGAAGCGCACAGCGCAACTGCAAGCGGCGAATTGGAGATTGCGCCCAAAGGTCAGAAGCCACATTGGAAGAACCAACGCAACCGTCTTGCGGTATCCTACACTGGCTTGCGTCCACAAGCGTACGAAGCTACGCAACTGTTGGCCAAAGAGCATAGACCTACGGTGGTCAAGGCGCAGGATGGCGAACTACCTTTGCAGACGCAAGCTGCTCTGCTCTTGAGATGGGACTGGATAGAGTTGGGCGATGAGAGGCGCAGTCAGCTTTGGGAATACCTTCGAGCAGATGCGCACAAGAGAGGAGGCCTCACAGAGACGAAAGAGCAGCTGGAGAATGATGCCCGAGTGCTCCAGTGGCTCAGAGGTGCTTTTGAATTGGCAAGGGGGTTTCGAGCTGCTCGTTCGCGTTTATGGGTGCCGCAGAGCATAACAGATCATCAAGATCCTGCTGCACGATGTCGAGAGCTAATTCAGCAGCGCTTCAAGGAGAACGAAGAGAGGCTGAGCGAGTATCGAGACAAGGTACGCAAGGCGGAGCTGGAGCGGGACAGAATGTTGCGCATGAGCCAAGCGGAAGTTCAAGATTCTTCGCGAGACTTGGTGCAGCGTTTCGAAGCGTTCGAAGAGGCACTCAAGACGTTGAAAGGTCGCTTGATGCTCTTCACCAGTCTCAAGTCCAAGTACGAAGCGTTGGCGGAAAAGGATAGGGAAAGCGCTTTGGATGTGGTGCTCAAGGAAGAGTGGGAAAAGCTGACAGAGGAAAAGCGGCAAGACGAGATGCAGAGGTTGCGCTTCCAATGCATCTTGAGGCTCGGTTGGAGAAAAGGTTATACAGCTGCTCAGCCACTTCCTGTACATCATCCCAACGCCACGGCCGAACGCGCAAAGGTCCGTCATGATCTCGTATTTCGCACTGGCCACACTACCGATGCGGCTAAGCGTCACGAGGCCAGGGTAGAACTTCAGAAGCTCAATCATGCGGACCTTTGGGACATTTGGACGCACATGAGACCCGATCAACGACGTGCGGAGGAGAAGGCTGCCTGGGCCATGAGGGATAGGAGTCGAATCTACATCAACAACACGTCGGATCACATGCTGCTGGGCGCGACCGGGCCTCGATGGTACGCCACTCCACAGATCGCCGGTGTTCCGACCTACTTGCCCACCTATCGCATCGCCCTGGTTCGAAATGCTACGGGGGAAAAGTACAGGAATGGGGACAAACTCAGGCCTGCGGATCCGTGGAAGGCTACTTTCAGGGTCCCGCTGCGCATGTCCAAGCACGAAGTGTTGAATTATCTGCGCGACCTGTACGGTCTGCACGCCACGTGGTACCGATCGCTGATCTACCGCAACCCTAGAACTCGCGATCTTCGAGCCGGCGGCCGATGGGTGCAGAATCAAGGGCATCGCAGCTTCAAAAAAGTCGAGGTGGGTTTGGTGGAGCCGTTTTTGTTTCCGGAAATGACGGACGCTATCAGGGAGAACACATTGGCGGAGACGGAGGCGAGGTTTGAGAACGCTAGGATTCTGAAGAGAATCTCGGCAGAGGGAGCGTTGGCTAGACAGAGGTGGAGAGCTACGCGACCCATGACGGACATGCTGCCCGAACGCTACCGACTTTCCAAAGCCCTCAGCGTTGCAAAGGACGAAGGAGAGATCAAGCGGTTGAGGGATGTGTATGAAGATAAATCGGGCATCGTCTTGGATGCCACGACCGTCGAGCAGATTGGACCCAATTCGGACGCTTTCGACAAGCAGGGTCAATATCCCCTGCTCAGCACGAGGAAACAGGGCTTCGCTACGGCAAAGACAAAACACATTTTGAGAGTCATGCATCAGAGAAGATTGGACAGGGAGGAAAGGATCAAGGCGAAGATGGCACAGACGCAGGCGGACGAGGAGTACTAGCTTTCGTCGGAGGCGCACGCACAAAAGTGTTTACCTCGTCTGTGCGAGCAAGGCGGACGCCCTATGGTATCGTTCACGTGCACTCTTTCGTTTATACAACAACAGTCCACTCAATCACATGCCTCGCTCGCGTTTGAAGAAAGTGAATGTTCTGACCTGACCTGACTGATCTCGAGATCGATGATAGTGTACAGTATTGGTGGCTTGGAGACCGTGGGATCAACGGGTGAGTCTGCTACGTCTTCTTGCGAACGATGCCAAAGGCCGAAGTGTTCTTTTTGCGTTTATTTGGTGGAGCTGAAGCGCTTAGCCCATTTGTCATTTTGCCGTTGACGCCACTTCCACCCGACGAGCTGGCCGCCTTGCTGCCCAGCATGACGTTGTTGAAGTTTTGAAGTTGGGCTTGAAGTTCCTTGGATAGCAAGCTCTTGTAGTCCGGCTCCGCATCTTCGCCTTGCTCATCTGGATGTGCGCGCTTGACGACCTTGGCTGCGCTTTGCGTGGAAGATGCACGAGGCAGTTCTTCAGAGGCGGTACCTGCATTGCCATTCGAGCCGCTGGTCATCGCCTGCTCCTCCTTCGCTACCGACTCTGCAGCAGCCGCCAAATCCCTGCTGAAATACTTTCTGACCAAAAGCTCATCCTCCTCTTCTGCCCTCTTTCGCTCCTCTGCCTCCGGATCCATAGCTCTCTGTTTGCCTTTCAAAGAATCTAGCACGCTATCCGCATTCACCCTGTCCAACCTGGCATTTCTCGTTCGGATGTCCTGCAGCGCATCCGCAATCTCCATTTCCCTCTTGGAATCCAGCGTGCGTTGTTCCAACGCAGCCATCGTATCCGCTTCTTCATCCTTGTCCTCCTCCTCGATCAGATGAGCCAAGGGATCCCTATCCGGATCATTCTCTGCCGCCTGCGCATCTCTCCAAGGTTCGAAATTCCTACTCGCTCCATGTTCCGCCTTGTAATCCGTATTCTGCGGATCCGTCCTAAAGGTAATCTCTGCCGAGCAAGTGGGACACTTGATGTAGAATCTGAAAATCTTGATGCCGTAATACGTCTCTCCCATCACCATTTCCTTTCTCGCATTGAACTTCTTGCCCTTGTACACGTACTCGCCGCACGTGTTGCATCGCATGGAAAAGGGAGCCATGAGACGCACTTCTTGTTGCCTGTCCGCTGCTTGACGACGACGAGGGATCTTGGAAGGATCGAACTCGGGCGGAAAATACTTGTTGAGCACTGCGAGCCAAGCGCGGAGAGAGAGAGAGAGAGATCATGGCGCGAGGTCAGCAGATGAGCAAGTGGGCAAAGCCCCGAGAGATCAGAAACACTTCGGCGGGGGCTCACCTTTTCGTTCACCCATCTTGTCTGCCTTTCAAGTAAAAAGCTGCCAAACCTTCTCGATGGTGTGCCCCAATTGAATTTTCAGCTCGATCTTTGCGAGGGTTCTGGCTTCTTGGTGCAAAGCTGCCTGCTTGAATGCGCAGCTGTGGCAGAGGGGGGATGTGGCAAGGTCAAGGTGCTGCCCAGTCAGAGTGACGCGCTGCCTGCCAGCTCGTCTAATCTCAGGCGGGGGGAGGGGGCGCGATGTAGGTTAAAGGTAGATAAGAGTTGCGCGTGATTCGTCGGTGGTCGTGATGATGATGATGGTGATGATGGCAAGCAGAGCTTAGCGAAGGCTGTTGAGAGCATGGAGACGTTCGTACAGGATGGAGGAGGTGTGAGGAGCTGAACACGCACTCGTGACTTGACTCAAAGAACACATCCCACATGCCCGCCGCTCAAATCTTGATTCCTGCAGTCAAGTGCATGCACTCGATCGGCACGCGCAACTCCAATTGTCGTGGCCTGCATGGCTGCTGCTCAAGGGAACGGCGCGGGGCGGGGCGCTCGAACGCTGCGCTCTGCTGCATCAACACCCTCGGCCCGTCGCTCCGATCTCCAAGGCCGCCTCTTAATTCCTCTTCTCATTCCATTCATATGCTTTGAGCGCTTCGACCACTGGCAAGTCCGCAGCACATTTTCGCAAACCCAGACAGACAGACCACCTTCCTTTTCGCGACAGAAGCTGCTGCTCATCACAAAGCGAAGCCTGATGAAATGTTGCTCATCATTGTGTGCTTGCCAACCAAGTCGAATGCGTAGATGTGATTTTGGCAGATTTGCAAATGCTGCGTGCCCTGCAATAAAAGGTACGCGAGGGGAAGGAAAATGACTGGAAAGGTGGGCAGGGGGGGCAAGCGATACCGCAAAGCGTTGTGCGAACGAAGCAAGGGGAAGGTGGGAGGTGCAAGCATGGGCTTCCGCTGCGCGAATCAAGCGCGCACATGCAGTCTCTCGATGAAAGCAGTCAGATCGTCTTTGCGCACCTCGATGGCCGACGTGTCGAATTGGTCATGTCTAGTCCTAGCTCCAGACTGACTAGCTGCTTCCTGAAAAGCCAAGCCGAACCGATTTCTCCTCGTATCACCAAATTCTGTCGATCCCGTCAGTCCAACAACGACGAACCTATCCCTCCTCTCGTCCAGCGCCGCAAGGACAAAGGGCAATCCCTGAGCAGCGCTCTTCGATGGTGCCTCCATCATCTCTTCCGTCATCTCACCATCTCCACCGCCCACCGCGGATCCTTTGCGTCGACGCTTGGCCTCCCTGCGCGATGCTTCTTGCTTCGCTACCAGATCCCGCAAGGCGTCCACGAGCCACAGCGCAAGACGTGAAAGCATGTTGGGATGCGTAAATAGCGGCAAATCCGG